ATATATATATATATTTAAGGCCATATTTTCCAACTACTGATCCTTGCTTCCAACGTTTGCATTCCAATCACCAGTAATTATCAATTACTAATTACTAGTATACTATGCTCTGGTAGCATAGTGGCTAAGGCACTTGACTGCTAACCAGAAGGCTGGCGGTTCAAACCCACCAGCCACTCCTCGGAAGGAAGGTTGGGCAATCCTACTTCCGTAGTGAAACTGCCTCGGAAACCCAAGGAGGGGTCGCTATGAGTCAGGGCTGACTCGATGGCACATAACAACAACAACAACAACAGTATACTATGGGTTGGAAGGTTGGGCAATCCTACTTCCGTAGTGATACTGCCTCGGAAACCCAAGGAGGGGTCGCTATGAGTCGGGGCCGACTGGACGGCATATAACAACATGACGATAACAATGGGTTGGAAAATACTTTTTCTTTTTTTAATCATCTGTGGAACAGACTATCAAATGCTCCTATGCAAGTTCAAGTTGAAGCTGAAGAAAATTAAAACAAGTCCACATGAGCCAAAGTGCAACCTTGAGATTATCATACCTGAATTTAGAGATCATCTCAAGAATAGACTTGATGCACTGCACATAATAACTGAAGAACAGATGAGCTGTGGGATGATATCAAGGACATCACAGATGAAGAAAACAAAAGGTCATTAAAAATAGGAAATAAAGAAAAGACCAAAATGGATGTCAGAAGAGACTCTGAAACTTGCTCTTGAGTAGAAAGTAGCTAAAGAAAACAGAAGAAATGTTGATGTGAAAAAGCTGAAGAGACTTCAAAGTGTGCCTTGAGAAGACAAAGTATTATGCTGAACTGTGCAAAAACTTAGAAAACAAAATGGAAGAACACTCTCAGCATTTCTCAAGCTGAAAGCACTGAAGAAAAATTCAAGCCTTGAGTTGCAATAATGAAGGACTCTACAGACAAATATTGAATAGTGCAGGAAACATTAAAAGAAGATGGAAGGAATACACAGAATCACTGTATCAAAACAGAATGGGTCGATGTTCAATTATTTCAGGAGGTAGAATATTATGAAGAACTAATAGTACTGAGGGAGCTTTGGTAGCACAGTGCCTAAGGCACTTGACTGCTAACCAGAAGGCTGGCAGTTCAGACTCACCAGTCACTCCTCGGAAGGAAGATGGGGCAATTTACTTCCATAGTGATACTGCCTCGGAAACCCAAGGAGGGGCCGCTGTGAGTCAGGTCCAACTTGACAGCACAAAACAACAACAACAACAATGGTACTGAAGGAAGAAGTCCACGCTGCACTGAAAGTACTGGTGAGAAACAAGGCTTCATGAATTAATGGAACACAAATTGAGATGTTTCAACAAATGGATGTCACGTATGTCAAGAAATTTAGAAGGCAGCTAGCTACTGGTGACCAACTGGAAGAGATCTGCACTTGTGCACATTACAAAGAAAGGTGATACAACAAAATATAGAAATTATCAAACAATATTCTTAATACAATAAGAAGGAAGTAAAATTTTGCTGACGATAATTAAAAATGGTTACAGCAGTACACAAACAGGGAACTGCCAGAAATCAAGCCAGATGCAGAAGAGGATGTGGAATAAAGGATATCACTGCTAACGTGAGATGGATCTTTCCTGAAAGCAAAGAATACCAGAAATACGTTTACTTGTGTGTTTTATTGACTATTCAAAGGCATTTGACTGTGTGGATAATAACAAATTATGGATAACAATGCAAAGAATAAGAATTCCAGAACACTTAATCATGCTCATGAGGAACCTGCAAAGAGACCAAGGGACAGGTGTTTGAACAGAACAAGCAGATACCATGTGGTTTAAAATCAAAGGTATGTGTCAAGGTTATACCTGCATATCTATTCAATCTGTATGCTGGGTAAATAATCCCAGAAGTACACGGGTAGATAGAATGGTGGACAGGCTGAACTATTAGGTATGTCTATGAAATGGGGAGTGTGTGTACCCAAGACCATGTATAGGGTTGGCAGACAATGGTCCTGTAAGTGTATTTGTATGATCTGTAAGAATTTCCAGGTGTATAGTAGAGCTGACAAGGGACAAGGCTGTAGTCACTTCTTGGTCACAGCCAACTACCCAGAGGGACTGAGTAGTTGAACCTGTGGGCTTGGGTCCATAGCCACAGGGGGCATCAAACTCAATTGGCGTAACATACTACACAAAACATAGTTCTACCTCCTACTTTGGTGAGTAGTGACTGGGATCTCAAAAGCTTGCAAGCAGCCATCTAGATGCAAAGGTGGGACTCTCCTTGTCCAGAGGAAAGAAGAATGAAGAAAACCAAAGATTCATGGAAACAATTAGTCCTAGCGACCGGTGCACCATGCGATCTGCAGCCTATACTACTGTGACACCAGAAAAACTAGATGGTGCCTGGCTACCTCTGTCAACCACTCAGAGGGGGATATATGTAGGAGATCCTGGATAGAGATGGAGAACAATGTGGAACAAAACTCAAAATCATTTGGAAAAAAAGAAAAGGTGGGACCAGGTTTGCTTCCCTAGCTACCTTTCAGGTCTGGAATTGAACCCACTCCTGTGGCTTCCAGTCAAACAAAAGACAGGCATATGAGTTGAACATTTACCTGAAGTAGATACACTCCTTGGAGAGAACAATCATGGTGGAAAGAAGAGCTGTTTATACACAGGGAGAGTCAGGGGGCAGGAGTACATGGAGGGATGGACACAGGGAAGAGGTAACTATCGGGAGGAAGTGGGAGGGGAGCTGTTGCATTGGGGTAAGTTGTAGTCAATGTCATGAGACAAAGTATGTGTGAGCTGCTGTATGGAAAGTGAATTTGCTCTGTAAATTTTCACCCAAATCACAATTAAATAATAATAATAACAATAGTAATAATAATAATCCAGAAGCTGGATTATATGAAGAAGAATGTGGCATCAGGACTGGAGGAAGACTCATTAATAACCTGTGATATACAGATGACACACCTTGCTTGCTGAAAGTGAAGAGGACTTGAAACACTTACTGATGAAGATCTGTCAACCTTTGGTATGGATTACACTTCAACATAAAGAAAACAAAAATCCTCACAACTGGACCAATAAGCAACATCATGATAAATGGAGATAAGACTGAGGTTGCCAAAGATTTCATTTTTCTTAGATTCATAATTAACACCAATGGAAGCAATAAGCAAGAAATCAAACGATGTAGTACACTGGACAAAGCTGCTGCAAAAGACCTCTTTAAAGTATTCCAAGAAACACAATAATGACCAGAATTACTAGTCAGATGGAGTCTGGTGGGACCCCAATACTGTGGCCCTGGGATACACTTTGGGCCAGGAATAAAACTCACTCCCTGGGGCTGGCTCTCAGCTCAACAGTAAACAAGATACACACACAGACCACTCAACCCAGGGTGACACACCCACATATTCTAATGGAGATGCAGCCCTCCATCAAAAAATAAATAAAGTGTACAAAGATGTCACTTTGAAGACTAAGGTGTGCTTGCCCCAAGTCATGGAATTGCCAATTTCTTCATATGCATGCAAAAGCTGAACAATGAATATGGAAGACAGGCAGACAGGGATATGAAGAAAGCCTGGAAATGTCAGATCAGACTATGGAGGCTTTTATACATCTCATTAGCGAACAGTGAATTTATCCTGCAAGTGGTAGGAGGCAAAGCCTCTGATGGCATAGGCAAGATGGAAATGAGGGAGACAACCTAGAAGAACAAATGTCAGATAGACTGCAAGTACACATACTGAATTTGGGCAGTAATAAGGATATTTCCTTAATGCTCGAAAAACATTTACTAGGTAAAGTTATGACTGGATTGGGAGTGGAGATTGATGAGAAGAGAATTAAAGAGTAATTCCTTAAAATGTAAGTTGGATGAATGTGGGGATGGAATCAGCAACCAAAATAGCGAATAGAAAACGAGAAGCCAGTTGTGTGCATGTGTGGCTTGGCTTGGGGAGTGGTGCTTGAAAGAGAAGGTAAAAAAAAAGATCATTTCCTTTGATCTAGTTGATTTCAAGGAGCCAGCAGTGGTGATATCCAGCAGGCAATGACCCAGACAACCCTTGACTTGCAGCGTTGCAGACAAGAGGCCGATGAAGATATTGGAAGCATCAGCATATAGAGGGTGTTGAAACCAGGAAGGTTGTGAGTTTTTCCCCAGAGGGTGGTGGTTGTTGTTGTTATTTGCTGTCGAGTTTGACTTGACTCATAGCGACCCCTCCTTGGGTTTCCAAGACGGCATCACTACGGAAGTAGATTGCCCACCCTTCCTTCTGAGGAGTGGCTGGTGGGTTTGAACCGCCAGGCTTCAGTATGGGTATAAAGAGCGCTAGGTAAAGGAGTTCTCAAAGAGTGCTCTTTGGAGACATTTTTGTTAGTATTGCCATTATAGAAAGAACAAGCTTAGGTATGTCTGTATTTTATAGAGAGATGAATTTATGGAAATATGCTTTTCTTGAGGTTTTTTTTTTTCCCCCCCCCTTTCCCCAAAGTAAGGGGGAAACATTTAAGATAATACAAGGTTGAAACGGTTCACTTATTTTAACCCCACTAGCACTTGACTGCTAACTGGAAGGTCAGTGGTTCAAACCCACCAGCTGCTCCATGGAAGGAGGACAGGGTGATTTACTTTTGTGAAGATTTACAGCCTCGGAAACCCAATGGGGGTTGCTATGAGTCGGAAACAACTCAATGGCAGTGAGGTTTTTTTTTTTTATTATTATTATAATTTAAGATGGTATAGACATTTTCATGTTTATTCTATAAATTATGGCCACTATTTGTTAGGGTTGAACAACAGTATACAAAAATCCATTGTTTCATTCCCTGCTAACCAAATGAATTTTTAATCCTAGCCTTATTGATTGTAAAAGAAAGTAAGCAACAACTGAAGTAATCTAACCAGTGCACTGGATCAGAGAGCTGTTGCATCCTGAATTTGAGTTAAGATCTGTAATACAGTACCTTACCTCAGAGTCAGAGCTGTCCAGTTCGGCCAGAGTTGGGGCTTTGAGGAGTTTCTTCCGCTGCACAGGAACCTGCTGTGTGGTACTTAAATCATATTCTTTTGTTGATGATGTTAAACCATTTACCATAGATGACTCTATCACATTCTTTGGAGATTCAGGGGTAGTTACATCTGGTAAAAGAAAGGCAAAAGCTTACCTTTCTTTGAGCTCAGTAAAGTAATCAGTGGACCAAATGTACTTTTCAAAGTACACACACCTGAAAAAACACACCAGATAACATTGCATTTCCATACAACTCAAATATAAAAAGGTTTGCCACTATAAAGCCTGTTTATAGAAAACATTTTTTTTTTTTGCTAGATATTAACTATCAAATGCAATTAAAGAAAATGTTTAAATGAATAATTTTATAACAACATTTGTAGATTAGAATTTGGAGTTGGAAGAGATCTTTCAGGTAAACAACTTCATTTTACAGATGAAGAAACTGAGTTCAGGGAGGCTAAGGCTAATTTCATTTTACATTCTCTAAAGACCTTGTTTGAAATGGTGAAGTGAAGGATATAAAAATACCTGATTAGGCACAGGGCCATAAAATCTGAAAAGGGTTTGATTTAAAAATCAAAATAACTAATCTCTTATATTCATAGTACATCTTCAATGTGAACGCACAGAATCTGGGATACATTCCAATCTCTGATAAATCTTACTTAAATTATTATGGGTTCAAATTTAGATAGGAAAGCAATATAACAAATGAAAGAAAATAAAGCAGTATAGTATTGAGAAATGCAGATCATTTGGGTTCGGTCTAGCTCTACTGCTAGCTGTTTGAGCAAGTTATCTAGCCTCTCTGTTTTCTCATCTGTAAAATGGGGATATAACAGCAATGGACTTGTTCGAGGATTATATGCATTAATAACTGCATATGAAATGCTTACTTAATACAGTGCCTTGTAGAGGCAGTGCAGAGTAAATACTAGTGATAACTAACACTGATTTTTATTTCCACTTGCAATTAAGTAAACTAAAGCTCAATTGAACAATTGAGTCTAGCTCACACAAGCTAGTGTGTGGCAGAACTGATATGTGAAACGTCTTAGTATTGATTCTAAAACCCTTCTTTTTTGCACTACAGCAAAAAAGTTCCAATTCAAGTAGAATTAACTCTTTTGGTATTTCAAATGAAGAGTTAAACAAGGACTAAACTTACTAACTACTAAACTAGAGTATTCAAAATTATAAAAGAGCAGTCACTGTATAATTTAATCTATAGCCAGCACAATAAATGATCTTTGCACATGGAATAGTCTCTGAAGCTATAGTAGTTGAGGTTTGAGAGTGGGCTAATCACTAAAGTGAAGCAGAGATGAATAATGCTCCTGTAGGAGAGAAAAGAATTTAACTGAATTTCTTGTAAAAAACAAGAATGTTCTATATTTAATAGCTTTTTCCCCCCCCAAAAAATAGTTTTTATAGACTTAAAGAAAGATGTGGAATTTCAGGAAAAATTCAGTATGTATGTATGTTCCTTGACATTATTTAAAAGAACCAAGTACATTATTTCTTACTGCAAGTATATATATCTAATTTAGTATTTATGAACAATTTTCTGTTCATTTTTAGAGATGAGTAAGGCCAAAGAACACACCCCTGCAAACTTGAAGAAAAGTTCTGAGTAAGGTAGGGGGGAGAGAAAATAGATAAAGGAAAAGGTAAGGAGGAAAGGAATGGAAAAGGGAAGACAGACAATGGTGTCCATAAATCAGTTATCATTTTATATAAAATTTTTAATAGAGAAGTGGGCAAAACATGCATTTACTTTATTATTACCTTCTCAGGGGTTAAGTAGCTAGTAGAAGTAAATAGTGGAGAACAGTAAATAGAACTGAAGGAAGGAAGGAAGAAAAAGAACAAGAGTAACAAGTTTTTACATGTTTTATAAAGGTTAAAATCCTTTCATAAGGAGATGTAGGGGCAGTAGGCTGCTATACTTTGGAGAATAATTAAAAAATTTTCCAGAAAGCAGAAGAGGAAATGACTAGACTGATTGATTCTGATTCAAGAAAAAAGGCAGTAAGTGTGTAAATATGGTCTAAAAGAAGTATGTTTAAAAAATCTTACTCTCTAAATGGGAAACACAGGAAGAAGGGGGATGAGTGATGTTACTTTGCAATCATTGGCATGAAACAAAATGTGTTAATGGAAAATGGATTTGCTCTGTAAAGCTTCACCCAAATCATAATAAAAAGTAAAAAAAAAAAAAAAAAAAAAAAGTCCTGTAGTGTCTGTTAGTTTATGTATTTCTTAAAGGGCTGTTTATGTTGTTGTAGGTGTCAACCTTTCATAAACAATGCATCAACAGTCAAAACACACACATTCTTGCACCTTTCTCAGCTGTCAATACACCAGTCAAGGCTTCCACCATTACCAGGTAGCAGTTCTCTCCTATACTCCTCAAACCAAAAAACCAAACTCACTGCTCTGAAGTCAGATCTCACCCATAGCAACACCTCCTCGGGTTTCCAAGTCAATATCATTATGGAAGTAGATTGGCCAATCTTCCTTCCGAGGAGTGGCTGATGGGTTTCAACCTCCAGCTTTCTGGTTAGCAGTCAATGCCGAAGGCACTACACCACCAGAGCACCCCCTATATTCACAAGTATGGTAATAAGAACACAGTTTCTCAAGGCTGAATACCCTGAGGGTGGTGCTGTATTCAGACCACTGATATGCAGAGGAGCAATGAAACAGTTTTAATGGTTATATATTTGTTTTAATATATATTTAATATTTCAGAAAAATACAAATACAATATCAGATATATAATTGTATGGATATTATTGCTTAAGAAAATTTATGGTGGTTAAAAAATTAAATAGATAACACTACAAATGGCATTTCCAAACCAAACTCACTGCCATCGAATCAGATTCGACTCACAGCAACCCCTCTTTGGGTTTCTGAGGCGGTATCACCACAGAAGTAGCTTGCCCAATCTTCCTTCCAAGGAGTGGCTGGTGGGTTTGAACCTCCAGCCTTCTGAGTAGCAGACAAGTGCCTTAGGTACATTTAGGTCTGCCAAAAATGAAACTAGCATATGAAATAAAGTTTAGGGAACATGACTCAGTGGCAGAGGGGGCAGCTGAGTTCATGTCATTCGGTGCAGGGGATCTGAGGGACTGCCAAACACCTGTCCAACTGCCTGAACACTATACTTATGAGATCAGTAATGGCCAACTGAGCTCACTGGTGGAAACTGCTGAAATAAACACTCATACTAAATTCTGCAACAGTTAAGTACTTGGCTGCTAACCAAAAGGTTAGTGGTTCAAATCCATTCAGGAACTCTATGGGAGAAAGACCTGGTAATCTGCTCCCATAAAAATTACAGCCTAAAAAACCCCTCAGGTTTTGTCTGTCACATGGGTTACTATGCAATGAAATTGACTGGATAGCACCTAACAGCAACACTAAATTCAAAGCTTTGAGATAAATGGAATTAACAAAAGATTGATTATGATCTCCACATGAAAGATTAAATACTGGGTGTGAGTCTATTTCATACTACACATTTCTTAAAAACCCAGAACATACTGAGACATTTTGAAGTAGTTTGATTATGTATATTTTTCTGTTCAAATGATCAAATCCTCATCACTACTTCAATGTATCAAATGAGAAAAAAAAATTTGGATCAGGCTTTGTATTCCTTCTATATGAGACAGCATTTCTTGAGAAAATACTGGTGCTATTTATATGTAAGCAAAATATTTAAGATGCTAGATATAGCTTTAAAAGTCACATACCTTTGCTTAGAAATATAAAATGTACACCCATGATGTTAAATACCTATTTAATAACTTTGTATGTATTAGATACACTCAGCTGCTGCCTTATGTGGTTGGAGGAAACTGACTGGGGTACAGATTATATATTTAATATACGCATGGGAAAAATAGCTTGTACTTACCTTAATTCACACTGAATGGAATATCAAGGTTTTCCACTAACAATTGATATTTCTAAGACATATTTTTGTAATAGAACATACTTCATTATGTCTTATTCTACACTTAAGTTCAAAGATATTATGTATGATATATGTTTAAATGTGTACTTTTTGTTCATTTTCCAATTTAGAGAAGATATGTATTCCAATCTTTGCATTCAGGTTAGAAGAATGGATCAATCTTTTCCATTTATATTTCAGATCATCTTAATTGTTTAGTCAAAATGCAATAACGAAAAACACGTAAGTTACATAAGAAATTGTGAATGAAGCAACTGGAATCATGAAGATGCAAAATAAATGATAGCAAATGATAAGCAGTGAAACCAAATAAAAATCTTCAGCTATTCTTTTGCATCACGTAGCTGAAGTATGAAGAGCTCTGGTCCAGCACAAACACACTGCACTGCATAAACTGTGTGTGAGTATGTGCATGAGTATATGCATTTCCAGATCACCAACCCCCCATCAGCTGGTCAGTGCATCCACGGGCCAGCTACTCCCTCACATTCCAACTGATGGGTATCTTTAGTAGACATTCTAAAGATACAGATTGTCTGTAACATATACTGACAATTTTTAGAGATGAGCAGTAACATATGTTCCAAAACATCTCAGATTTTATTTTACAGAGCAAGTTTTGCACAGGATCACTCTGTGTAAGGCAAATGGGTAATAAAATAAAAATTATCAAATGGATAAAGAAAATAGAAAATCTCTTCAGTGGTCAGTCAAAGATAATAAGTGAAAACTGAAATATTTATATGACTTTCTTTAAACCACAAATATTAGAATCATGCTTTAGACCTACAAGAATAAACAAAAAATTTTAAAACAATGGAAACTAGCTTATCTCAGTAAATATTCATATACAGAATATAATACTCTGGCTTTTCAAATATGAAGTTCTATATAAGGAGTATCAACAAATCTTTATACTTTAAGAGGCATCTATGGCATACAGACTCGGAAGGAAGGTTGGGCAATCTACTTCTGTAGTGATACCGCCTCAGAAACCCAAGGAGGGGTCGCTATCAGTCGGGTCTGACTCGATGGCACATAACAACAACGACATGGCATACAGAGGAAGAAAATCCTGAAAGAAAATACTAGTGTCAATATTTTATCTCATTTTACATTCAAAACAGCAACCTTCTG